CTTAATTGGTCTCTCCGACTTCCATTTTGCCCCCTTCATACCATTCTTCTCATGAGAGTCAGAGTAATCTCTTTAAAATATAATATTTTCCATGTTGCTTTCCACAATAAATTAAAACTGCTCCTGTTTGCTCTGAGGATAAAATCCAAGCTCTTTGATATATGAAGTTCTGCCCTGGTATTCTCTTTCTGCTTTTTAGGTTTACCTTTCTTCATTCTCTTTTTGGCACTCAGAATTCTGATCTTACATCTCACCTGCCCTGCATAAGTGACTGCACGTGCTGATCCCTCTGTAAGGAATGTTCCCGCCCAACTTCTTCACCTGCTTAAAGCTCTCTAATCTTTTGAATTCACTTATCGGAAGCCTTCTGGGTGTCTCCATCCCTTGTGCTGGATCACAACCTTTATGCTCTGCATTTTAATTGAATGTTTATTTTTCCATCCCTTTTAATTATCTTAAAACTTATTGCACTCATTGAAGGCGTAGTCTCTGTAGGCTGTACTTTTAACTCTGTGTTGTTCACAAAGTCAGCACTTAATGAACATTTGTTAAATAAATGGATGAACAGGTTAGTTACAATACTCCTTCAGACCTTAAATATTTATTTCCATGAATGTGATTGATTAGAAGGTATTAAATGTTTTGTGGCACCTCACAAAAAGTGAAGCATACTTGATAATATTCAGAAATAAAACAGAAAATCACAAGTATTAAATATTATTCCTCTTGTTCTTTCATATTTATATGATTTCATTAATAGCCTTTAACTAAAGGAACAATTTAACAACTTTATCATAATCCTTGAAAGTTAGTAGAAAAATCTTACTATATAAGTAAGGATGAAATTAAGAAAAATAGAATGCGATCATTTTACATAAAACTTTGCTTGTCTGTGTGTTTTCTTTTTACAAAATTGGAGTCACATTAGCCACACTCCTTTTTAGCTAGCTTTTCCCATGTAATACTTCATGACTCATCTTTCTCTATATCTTAAAATGGAATAATAAAGAACTGCAAAATATTCTAACGATTACAACACTTATAAGCTAAACTTCCATCTTGGGTAATTTATGTCATTTTTAAATTTTTGCTATAAAAACAACAGTGGTATGAAATGTCTTTTTACCTACACAGGGATGCACACAGTAATTCAACTCCTCAGGCTTAAAAGTCCCAGAAGTGTAATGGAGCAAAAAGCACTCATGAAACTTGTACCAATGTACATTCTCACTAGTGGGTTAGGTGATGCTTTTTATCAGAGGATTTTCACCAAATCTGGATACTTGCACTGGAAAAACAAAAACTATTTGCAAAATAATTGACAATTATCTTATTCTTTGTTTAAATTTACTTTTATTTTCACTTTGTTAGGTGATGCTTTTTATCAGAGGATTTTCACCAAATCTGGATACTTGCACTGGAAAAACAGAAACTATTTGCAAAATAATTGACAATTATCTTATTCTTTGTTTAAATTTACTTTTATTTTCACTTTATTCTGACATGTAATAATTGTGTGTATTATGGGGTACATGTATACACTGTGTGATCTTCTTCTTAATTTCGCTTCTTGTGTCTAAATGTGTCTACCAGATTATAAATAACAATAGGTGCTTCAAAAGTTTATGGCTAAAGTTAATTACATATTATATGTAAAATTGTTTGGCACAATGCCATACACGTTAGGAGCTCAATAAATGCTAGTTGAAGTAGAAACTAAAGAGCAGATTAATTAAAATCAAAATATAAATTTTTCTTTCCAACAGATGATTCTGCTGCAGAGAGCTTTAATGGCAATGAGACTCTGGGGCACAGTTCAATTGCTTCAGGGGGAACACACAGCAGGGAGATGGGAGACTCCAACAGTGAGGGCAAAACAGGGCTGGAGCAGGACGAGCAGCCACTGAACCTGAGTGACAGTCCCCTCTCTGCGCAGCTGACTTCAGAATACAGAATAGATGATCACAGCAGTAATGGAAAAAACAAATATAAGAATCTTCTAATTTCTGACCTCAAGATGGAACGAGAGGCAAGAGAAAATGGAAGCAAGGTAAGGTCATATTAAAATTTCCAGAGAATTTTAAAGTTTGTCATGAAGATCACAAAGAAAGACCTATCTATAAAGGAGATGAACATTATGGTCAATAAAAATATTTTAAGCAGATCCCAATAATATGTTATCAAGAAACTTTTAACCATGCATATCATGTATACATAAAATATAATTTCAGGAATAACAGTGAGCAAAATGTATTGTGTCTTAAAGCTATTGGTGTCTTTTGATACAGAGAATCACTTGATTTAATGTTTTACATTTATATAATCTATTTATGGATCTGTCTCTGGGAATTTGTTGAGCTCAGATGTAAAAGTTTCAGTCTCAGTACACAATTTTAGACCATAAAAACATCACTGATTTCTTCTAGATTGGAGAGGTGTATGTAGCAATAAAGTTTCAATTAAATCCTCCAGTTTGCTTTAGAGACCTGGGGACTTCAGTCAGTTACTTCATTGAAACCAGAGAACTGTTAAAAGTCAGTGTCCTGGATAAAACTTGTGGATTAAGTTACTACTTACTTGGAGAATTAAGTTACATAAATTATACTATACAAAAGTCAAAACATGTTTCAGACATTTTATCTAAATTTTTAGATTCTTTATATTTGAATAAATTACAATCTCCCATTCCCAATCAGTTTAACATTTTTAATATTAAATTTCACTAGTTTTGAATAACAGTTGCAGTGATTTTGCTGTATAATTTTTGAAGACATACTTTGGAAAACATGAGGATTCTTATGAAATAGATATTTAGACTCTTCTTCCACCCCTAACTGTAAGTTAGAGCTGTAGAGCTGGTCTTTTCCCATAGATCCTAAAAGCAAAATGTCTTCATCTGGATTAATTTCTGAATTTGCTGAGGCACTATGCTTCCTAAATTGGCTCTATTTAAATCTTTTTGCTCGCCTGAGGGTGTGTTGTTTCATCCACTTTTAAGCAAGTCACTAGACATTAGCAGGCACTTAAAGCACTTCTGCCTGAGGGAAGCTGTTACAACTTTTGCTGTGGTAAATGCACAGTATCCTCTTCAATGATTTAAAACCAAATCACACAAACACAAATGATTTTATATTCGCAAACATGATCTAAATCACTGGGTTACATTTTACAGAACAAAATAACCCTTAGGTTTCCCTGCTCTCCACATAGCCTTATCTTTATAAAGCTTAAATAATCATGAAAGGTCCTTTTTATGGTATGTGTCTATTAATTTTTTTTTACAAAATTATTCAATGATTTGCTCTTCTCTTTTGTATTCCCTTGCTTGATGTTACCCTAGGCACGATGCTCATTAAAACACATTCTTTGCGCACATTAAATGGAATGAATTTACTTTTCTACCTCTATCAAAACGGAGTTACAGAAAGCACAAGTTGTTTGGGCTGAATATGAGGGTTAAGATGATAGAAGATCCTAAGGCAGAAGAAGTTACATTCTTTGCGCACATTAAATGGAATGAATTTACTTTTCTACCTCTATCAAAACGGAGTTACAAAAAGCACAAGTTGTTTGGGCTGAATATGAGGGTTAAGATGATAGATGATCCTAAGGCAGAAGAAGTTATCCCTGAGGCACTGAATATTTAAGTTTGGCAAAGGAAGAACAGTTCCCACAGTCAATTGAGGAGTAGCCAGAAAGGCAGAAGAAAAATCAGAAGGATATAGTATATCCTCAGCAAAGACCACATTTCAAGAAGAAAGTGGTCAGCTCTACTGGACTCTAATACTAAGAAATAAAATAAGATGAAGATGAAAAATAATTGAATTTGTGAGAGCAGTTTTGGTAGCACACTGGGAGAGCAGAATCCACAGGGAATATTTTCTTTCATTCATTCAAAAAGGGCATATTAATATCTGGCAGTTATGTGGGATAAATAGGTCTAGAATTCTAAAGAACAGCAGAACTATGCATAATAATATTGTATTGTATATTGAAAATTTGCTGACAGTAGACTTTAGATGCTCTTATCTCACACAGACAAAAAGTTTTAAAAGAGATAACTATGTGGAAGGTGATGGATATGTTAAATTACTTACCTGTCCTAATCATTTCACTACAGATGTGTATATCAAAACATGATGCTGTACACCTTAGACTTATAAAATAATAAAAAGAAATACCTGGCGCTCTTGTAGCAATAAAGTAGATAACAGGGACAACCCACAGAAATAGTCTTTATTCACAAGGCCCTTGATATATAGTTTTGAGAAAGGGAATACATAAGCAGAGAAAAGTCTCTCAGTGCAAATAGAAGTAAATATTTATCTTTGTGTTAAAACATTAAGAGTTCAAGTATATTGAAGTAATAGTCAAAACAGGCTTACTAGAGGAAGTGAATCTTGTGCTTTGAAGGAAATATAAGATTACCATTTTTTTCTTTTTTTCTGAAGAGGGTCTCTTGCTAGACACTGTGAACAGCCTGGAATGTAGAGAGGGAAGATGACTTAGATTCAGGCTAGCGAACCATTGTCCATTCTGAGCTGGGTATGACTTCTTAACATGGCATTTGAGAAGAACCTAACATCATTATGCAAGATAAAATATTTGCCACCAATTCATTAATTCTCTAAATACTGAGAGATTCCTATATGCAAGGCACTATTATAGGAAGCAAAAATATGTAAATAAGCAAAGCATGGTCCCCACCCTTCAAAAGCTAATACTCTAGCAGAAAAGAGAGGCAAAGATGTGTAGAGGCTGAAATAGAGAAGCTGAATCATTTTAATTGTGAAGGAAACTGTGTCTGGAATTTTGCTTTAGGGATTCTTCTTGCAATCTGAATCCATACATAGAGTACTCTAGGGTGCTGGCTTTGGATCAACACTTGTTTTACCTCAAGGCTAAATCAGGGGAACTTCATGCTAGAGTTATGTTCAATGAGTCTACCTTTTATAGTCTTCAGGAATGTTTCATCACTTCTTATGAAGTGTCACTGCTACCAATCTCTTTTGCCTTGGAGGTATATGTAAAAGCTCAATTATATAGAATCTCTGAGAAGCTTAGATTCCTGTGAGTTTAATATTGACCTATTTTAAAGTTTTATTGTGAATAATATCAAACAAGAATGATTATAAAGCATTTAAAAAATTGAACAGTGAATAAAAATGCATAAAAAGAATAGCTGAGTTGGACTATGCCATTTACTGATTGCTTATTATTATGCAAATTTGCTCACTAGACTAGCAGGGAATCACGTTAACCAATCTAAAGACTAAATATATTGCATTGAAAGAGTTTAGGTGATATTTATTTTCTGCTTTCTGATGGCCACATTTTTAAAGGACAACTAATAACATCAGAGCTCAGAAGAGAGTAGAAATGATGATGAAGATGCTGGAAAATAAGACCCATGAGGAACTGTTAGGGAATTAGCTATATAGAAAAATAAAGGCCAATAAGACACAAATCTAGATATATGTGTGTCTAAAGTTATTAATCAATGAGGATAGAAGCAAAACTAGAATTCTAGTGGAGGAAAATACTTAACTTAAAAAGCACTGTAGCATTTATTTTTATTTTTATTCTACTTTCTTTTAGTATTTATGACCCACTTGTGTTTTACTTAATATAGTGAAATATTCTGAAACAATCTCCCAAAAGAATAATATTTCAAATAATAACTGTGGTGACAGCATGATTACTGTTTGCGGGTTAATGTGAAACTATGGTTACAGCATATTTGGGTTTTAGCTCATTTTCCAACAGCCCTCAATCTTCGCTTGATTTTATAGTATTTTTTGCTTTAATGGGGGTCATGCAACATTTTAAACATCGATCTTTCCTTTAAATTTTTACTGAAATGGATATTCCCCTTCAAGTAAAGTTTGTAAAATGTTAATCATAATTATTATTAATAATTGTTATATAATTTCTTTTCAATATGATGAATGGAAGCAGTACGTATTTCAAAATATCTCTTTTAAAGTTTTAGGTGTAATGAGATTGCCTTTTAAAAACTAAGAGCAAATAGATTGACTTTCATAATAATATTATCTTGCTCTTTGTTACTTGGATAATTCAGCTCATAATTGTTTCAGTTTGAAGATTTTCAGTATTTGGCGTTTTGGTGTCATGTAGAGGTTTTGGTCCAAATCTTATTCAGAGTAGAAGCTACAGTGGAAAATGTGTTTGATATGTACTGGGCACTGTCCTGGGTCTAGAAGGACAGAGAGAAAAAAAAGTCAGTCATTAAGAATTTACATTTTGGTCAGAAAGACAGACATAAATAAATAAGTGTATTATGATGTGAAAATTGATTTGTGTGTGAGAGTGTCTTCTAGACCTACTTAACCATACCTTGGAAGGTACCTGAGTTAATTCCGAATAGTTAAATAGGAGATGGCCATTTTGCGATGGGGAATAGGGAATTCCAAACAGAGGGAACTTGATGAACAGAGCATTAAGGTAAATATTTAAAATGTTGAGAATAGAAGTAGTGAGAGATAAGTCTGGCGAGGCTGGACAGGGTGCCAGACGAGGGAAGGCTTTGCATGCCCTTTTAAAGCTTGGATTTCACTCTGTAGTTGACAGGGAATCACTTTAGGATACAGAATAGGAAAGTAGCATGGTCAGATTGTGTTTTGGGGTAGACCATTCCAGCATTTCTGGTACAAGATGGCTTTAGGTGGCATAAGAAGGGAGAAGGATGCTAACAGAGAATGAGGGGTTGCTTTAGTGAGGCGGTAGTAGAGATAGAGAGGAGAGCATGGATTTAACAAATATTAAGAAAGTTAAATGGGGAGAATTGGGTGTTTGATTAGATAGGTGGTTGTATTTAACCTGTTTCTGTTGCTTATAACAAAATACCTGAAATTGGGTGATTTATAAAGAAAATGAAATTTATTGCTTACAGTTTCAGAGGCTCAGAAGTCCAAAATCCAGGGAACACATCTGGTAAGGATCTTTATGGTGACTTCAGTAATGCAGGGTATCACATTGTGGAATGGCAGAGCACAGAGGGAGAGCAGAGAGAGCTAATCTCCTCCTGCA